AGCGAGTGGAGGGAGAGGAAGGATACAGAGAAGAGAGCTACCATGGCGAGGAGGAGGAGCGTGCAAGGGGTGGGGTGTGGTTAGGTAGGAAATTGATGAGATAAACAATGGTGATAAATGTGGTAAAATCCCAAAATGTTAGAGGAATGGATGTGTTAGCAAGTAAAGCAAGACTAATCTCGACAGCGTGTCTATGTTTTGGTTCAGCTGAACCATTCTGTTGATAAGCATGAAATAAGACCAATCTCCACGATGTGTCTATGTTTTGGTTCACTTGAACCATTCTGTTAATAAGCAAGATGGCATGAGACATTGTATAGGAAATACTAATGCGCTCAAAAATGAATTTAATCTGCTATACTCACCGCCCACTCAGTTTGCTGGCAAGGATTCTTCTATCAAATAAATGTCTGTTGAATGTAAAGAAGAAGCAAAGCTAGGAGGAAAAGCAGAGGAGGCACGCACGAATTGTGGATCCAGGCAACAAATGCCTTTTTTCTTTTTTCTTTTTTCAGCAACGAATGCTGGGTGTGCTGCTTGCAACCAATGCAAGGTTCGGCTTATTACATAGCAGAGACCCACTCCACTCCTACCAACTCTGCAGCACATCAACTCACAATGTATTGCTCCCGGTCTAAGCATGGACAGCCATGACACACGGTGGCATGTCCTCTCACACAATGCACGGCATGTGCGTGTACCTTACATCAGGCTAACATCGCAGGAGTCAAACATGCATGAACCTTACATCAGGCTAACATGGCAGGAGTCAAACATGCATGAACACATGAGCATGATCAACAATTAATTAAATCATACATCGACTAGATTAACTTCTAACACCGCCCACTCAGTTTGCTGGCAAGAATTCCTTTAGCAAATAAATGCTTAACATGTTGGAAATCATGAAACTTTTGAAACACATTTGATTAATTTTTTATCAAGTATATCCAGGTAAACTTGCTGAAATTGTCGATAAAGGAAACATGGTTGATAGTTGACTTGATTCTGTGATTAAACAGAAAGTTTTGCGTCTAGTGTAGAAATTCCTGTAATTTACTGGAATGTGATAATTAGCTGATATTTTTACACCTGATTAATATACAAATTGCCCGTGTTGTTCTAGTTTGTCATAATGTTTGGAGTTACATAATTATAGATTCTATTCAGATCATTGCAGACTATTCTGTTTTAGATAGATTCTATTTTCATTGCATAATTGCTTGTTTTGATAATGCTATGGTTTATATCGGGGGGTATAAGTCATGGAGAAGTTGGAATACAGTAGGTATTATGCAATAATAAAATATGAACGGGTTCATAACAGTACCTAAATTATGCGAGTTCTTTATGACTAATGTGAGTCCATGGATTATACGCACTTCTATCTTTCCACAATTTGCAAACCTCTCCGGTAGCATGCAATGCTCTTTCTCACCTCGAGACTTGGAGCAAACTTAGCCGGTGCATCTAAACCCCGTCACGTGATATGCTCTATCACACATAAGTCTCTTTTACCTTCCTCAAAAAACCCACCATACCTACCTATCATGACATTTTCATAGCCATTTCGAAATATATTTCCATGCAACTTTCATCGTTCCATTTTTATGATATACATGTTCATTGTCATATTGCTTTGCATGATCATATAGCTCACATTATATTTGTGGCTCAGCCACCATTCATCATTATTATACATGTTACACTTGATCATTGCACATCCTGGTACACTGCCAGTGGCATTCATATGGAGTCATATTGTTCTAGTTATCGAGTTGTAAGTAAATAGAAGTGTGATGATCATAATTATTAGAGCATTGTCACGGTGAGGAAAGGATGATGGAGACTGTGATTCCCCCACAAGTTGGGATGAGACTCCAGACGAAAAAATAAAATAAAATAAAA